CAGAACAAAAAAAAAATGCACTGTTAGCTTTAAACAAAAGTTCTCTAGAAGAAGAATGAAGAAAATGTCCTTCAGTTGTTTTCCTTTGAGCAGTTTATCCAACTCAAATGCAGCAGAGAGGGTCTGAAGGGAGTACGTGGCAGTAGATCGCTCCAGAGAGCTGCTTAGGCTGTTTTGCTCTGCTTTGAAGTTTCTGGCTTGCCTTTGGATTTTTCTGAAAGGTTATACAGGGAGAAATTTAGAGTGCAGGGAGTTCAGACTGAATTATTGATTTGTACAGATATTTAAGCCATGGGCATTGGCACCTCTGCCCTGTTACGATTTATATGTTTCAAGCTTAGGTTTGCCAGACACCTGAGAAAATGCCATTTTGCATTCATCATACCAGTCAACCAAAACAGAGTGCTCAAAGGCATGCAAACCTCAGTGGACCTTATGGCCTGATTTGGAAGAACTTCTACTAGTTTAGCTAGTAACAATTTTTGGTAGAGTTTTTCCTACATTTTAAAATTTGACTTGAATATGTTTTCTGAGTTTGCTTTTGAAACTCCATAAAAAGTCACCAATTTAGTCTGCAGAAATTAGGCTAGATAAATTCTATTCAAAGCAACGTAGCGCCTGCAGTCTTTCCCATAGCGATGGCACTCATTTCAGTGTCTCTACTCAATCTAGTTGTCAATTTTTATGAAGTTTTGAGGAAGCCAGTATACTTGAGGTCACAACACTTGTGTCAGATTTGGTTATAATTAACTAATGGGTTCAAAAGCTGTTGTGGGATGACGCAACAGATGGATAGACATGGCACTCCCATAAGCTGCATTTCTGTTGAAAATCAGGCTAAACTCACTGATTTTTTTTTCCAGCAGCAACTAAGAATTATTTATTTCTTTTTGATCCATTTCTGTACAAAACAGGATCTATATTAATTCTTTCAAACTCTTTCAGACCTGGAGTGTATGATTCTGATTATATAGTATAAGTGAAGGCTTATAGTCTCTTTTAGGGATGCAAATCATTATAGATTTATTTACATACAGCTTATGAATAATGTTGAACAGTTTACCGAGAGGCAGCTTCCAAGAGAGCAAAGGAGAATATGCATACTCTGCCCTTTCAGAATGTGAGGTATGCAAATGTGTAGCAAATCAGGTCTACCTCCTGCTTTGTTAGGGTGAAAAGGTGGCTTCTTGAGCCTCCCACACCACTGTTCCCCTTTTGAGGTACTGTTTGAGGTACTGTTCATATAAGAGAACAGTGAAGGAGTTACCTCCACAAGGAGACTGCAGTTTTATCCACCTTTACATTTAGCATACAAAGAAAGAATTTTTTTTCCCCTCCTAACCAGTCTATGTAACATCTAATGGAATATGTATTCTGAGTACCACATATGTCAGTATCTTTTAGTAAGGAATTACTGAAAAAGATTATCGTTGTCCAGTAGAGCACTTTTTCGTAGTTTGGCATCTTGGGGCAAATGTTATATATGCTTATTTAGTTTTATCCCTGTTCTGGTCATACTCCCAGATTTGAATCTGAACCTCCTTTTACTGATAGCATACATATTGAATCATTTCTTGTTAGTGTCTACATCCACTGGTTCTAGCTCTTTCACATGATTACAGGTAAATCTTACATTATGTGTTATGTTTTTCATTGGTACATGTGTTCTCTTTGAATGTGGGACTGAATCAAATAGTTTCACGTAATCCAGCCAAACCATGTTAGACTCCTTGTTAGTTGACATTCTTTATAGGCTTTTCAAGCAGGAGCTGATCCTCTGCTGCTCTTCTTTTTTCTTTCGTTAACATCCTTTTGCCGTCCAACCAGTGCAGTATCAGGGGCTACCTTCAGGTGATACAGTCCGTATTAGCAGTTTCTAAGTGACTCAGGAAGATGTCAACTTAAAGGCTTTTACCTTTCTTTCATTTCTTAGGAGGAGTAGTTTTGCTTTCAAGGTTTTCCGGTTAGCATTTGGCAGTCTTTTACTCCCATCACTGCCCTTGATGTCTACGTGGCCTTTCTCAATTTTGTCTGTACTACAATTCTGCAAGAACAACATTCTGGTTTATGCTTGTAAAGCTTTTGAACACCAAAGCTCTGGCTCTAGTTGGAACATACAGGCACTGCTTAATTGCAAATGAAAAATAATGCCTGTTTAAATTACTGTGCATTAGCTTCCTGCATAAGGAAGTTACTCTGATTTTAGCTTTGCAGTGTTAGGTGATGCCATGTGCCTAGATAGGTCTTCTGAGAAGGGGCGCAAAGCTGTAGAAAAGACAGCTCTGCCTCTGATCCACTTAGCAGATTACTCTTAACTGGAGTCTAGTTTGCACATTAGAATAATTTTTATCTTTCTAATTGCAGTTGGCTCTGAGATTCTCCTGTCTGTGCATCTTGCCATGATTACAAACCTATCTCAGAACCAACCATTACCATTGAGTCCTCAGCCATTTTGCCTCTAGCTCCCTCATTTACTTAATTGGCTCATGCAAGATGTTTAACTTGCAGCCAATGAGACAGACAGCTTCTCTATATGCATTGTGTATTTCCTTTCCAATACGTGCTCATTAAAGCCAGTTAGCAAAAGCTTGCTTCTGCCCCCTCCCGCCCCCCTCTTTTGGTTTTGTGCTAGCTTTTAATTATGATTTTGTCTTTACATAGAATCATTTCAGTTGGAAAATACCTTTAAGATCATCAAGTTCAACCGTTAACCTAACACTGCCAAGTCCACGTTTAGATTGGAGAGGATTATTCTTGTCACGATGTATTAGCAATTCCTGATTTCTGCTGAAATCATCTCTGTCATGTGTTAAGCTCAGACTACTTTCTTCACTTTCTGTGCCAAATTATTTTCTACTTTTTGTCAAAGGAACAGTATTATAAAATTACCTAGCTGTAATCAGCTCTCAGTTACCTTTTGCCATTCTATTCTGGTGCACGTTGTCTGTGCTGTAAGTGTGGAGACAGTCTGGGTTAAAGAGTGTTACCGATGAGTTGTAATACAGTGCTGCACTAACACTCTATGGGGGGCCTAAAGTTCCCAGTGTTTCCTGTCGGGGACTAGCTTCTGTAGATGCTAGAGAAGCTAGAAGCTAGTCCCAGCCAGACCTACACTGGCTGCTTGTCAGTACAGCCTAGTTGCAGTAAATTTCAGTACATGGTGAAGTTTTCTGGGCCCGTCTCAAGTCTAGCATGGAGAAAATCCAGCTGGAGTAATAAGTGCTGAGGTAAGTGCTACAAGAGCCACAGTTATTGATGCTTAGGGTGGCACAAGAGCTTATGTTTGGACACAGTGCTAAACCCAAACTGTCTCCATGCATTTGTGTCACAGCAGGCCAGAATTTATAAGCCCTCTTGGCACCTGGTGTTCTGGAAAGTGATGTGAAGGCTGAGCCAGCATGGCAGGACGAGCGCTTATCCAGAACTGATAAATTCTGGGTAAATACTGCTGCTCTGTGTTTTCAAATGCGTTCCACAGTACCCTTACTGTTAGGGCTTATTCGTTATCTGCAGTGTTCAATATCCCAGGTAGCAGAGGACTGACTATAATGAGAGACAACAGAAATCCAAACCAGTAAGCTGTCGAAGTAATCACTTCTGAAACAGATTTAGGGACTCCTGTCTCTACAGCAGGCACTAAACCCCCAATTATCATTAATATTTGGTATACCACTATCAGGCAGGGGTTGTCTGCCATGGACTGTGAGTGTCAAAAGTGGCCTGTGTAATATACAGCTAGTTGGTGTGCAAATTAGATGCAAATCAAGCGCCTGCTCTAGCACAGAGTAGTATTTATTGAGTAGAAGGGCCATCAACAGCTGTGCTTAATGTCAAATACAGGTGTCTGGAAGGACTTGCAAGACTAGCTTTGCAGGACTAGCAAAGAGGTAGGTACAGAGTAGTGGTTGAGCAAGGTCCATGAGGTTATTTGGTATGTATACTGGAGCTTGGAAGAAGTCACTGGTACTACAAGGCAGCTTAAAATTAGGGCACTTAAAGTGAGATAATTAGGCAAGGATTGGGAGTTTAGAACAAGGGGCATGAGAGAAAGAGTTTTGACACCTAGCAGTGTCTGACAACCTCCTCTGTCTTGGGTCTTTCCTGGTGAGTCTCTTGGATGTTGGGCTATGTTGGGTTCTGTTAGCTGTGAAACAGGATGGATAGAGGAGCTAGAGCAAAGTCAACATCTCTTGTGTAGTCCTATAGAGATGAAAAAAAATATTTTTTTTTGTTAAGCCAAAAAATCTGGATGCCATTAGTATTAGATCTTCAGATTAGGTGAAAAAGTTCAGTTATTTTACAAGAGCAAAGCAGGAATCTGGCAATATACACAAATTGTTAAACTCATATGGCACGTACACCATTTGGGAAGTCCAGCTATGTCCCCCTACAAATGTATCAGTGCAAAGAAATTTGGAGCATACATGCTGGCAAAAACAAGTAGTTGCCAAAGACGTTAAGAGTTCCTAGACTTTCTACTCTAAGGTATGGATTCTGCATTGTAGTAATAAAGTTGTGGCTTGTTTGAAACTATGAGTCATTATTCTTGCTGAAACATACCCATCACAAATTACCTTTCAAAGGCAGAACAAACCACAGGTTATTTTTAGACATTTTTGGCTTGTTTTGCTTTTTCTTGGCAAAGTAACCAGGTATTTTGGTAAGAAAGTTACAAATAAATTGTTAAAATTCATTTTAAAGAAGAAATCTGATCATAGTACAGTTTTACTCAGCCTTTTTGGTTTTGTTATTTCCTTCTTTTACTGTCTCATATGATATTTGTTCTCCTTTCCTACAGAGTGCTCATTGTGACATTCCTGTCTTACCAGTATGTTTCATCATCTCATTAAAAGTAACCTGTATTAAAAATTAAGAATATCACCAGTGTGTACCAACACCTTAAGTGTTATTTAAAGTCACCTTCCTGCCGATTGGTTTATCCAAAATAGTTATGAGCTGAGCTGTGAAAAGATGTCTTCTTTTTTTTTTCCTTCTTGCAGACTGCAAATGATAACCAGCATACAGACGATGAGCATGAACTCAGAGGAGATAAAGAAAGCTATCTCTGTGCAGTGTGCCTGGATGTTTATTTCAATCCTTACATGTGCTATCCATGCAACCACATCTTTTGTGAACCTTGCTTAAGGATGCTTGCCAAAGACAATCCAGCCAACACTCCATGTCCACTGTGTCGCACCACAATTGCCAGAGTCTTTTTCCAAACAGGTATAAAAATGAAAGTTTTTACAATACAGAAAAATATTTTTAGCTTTCCTTCCTGTATTTCTGGCCTGAATAAATATGTAGTTGAAAGTATGGTAAAACCCTGCTAACCAAATATAGTCATAAAAAAAAAAAGAAAGAGAAAGAAAGAAAGAAAAAGAAAGGAAGAAAGAAAAAAAAGAAAGAGAAAGAACGAAAGCAAAGAAAAGAAAGCAAAGAAAAGAAAGGAAAGATGTGCAATGGGCCACATCTAAAATGCATGCAGAGTAAAATTTGGTGGTGTTAATCCGCTGTGAGGTTTTCTTTGCATTTAGCTCTTCTTAGGACTATTCCACATAGGCATTCTTCAGTGGCAAGAAACTATTTTGGATGCATATTTGAAAACTTTTTTATTTTTGAGGTGAGGTTCTGATTTTTGCATTTCTTTTGTTTCCTCTTGCTAAATAATCACAAACTCCAAATATAATAAACATTTTCTCAAAATATCAGAAAAGCATTTTAAAAATTACTAACTTAATGACACACACAAAAAAAGAGCTCTTTTCTTGGTTTTATGGCTTTAATTTAGCTACATTTAGCTATTTAGAAAATAAAGGCTGGCAGAACTGTAGAATCCTCCTAACTAATCTGGTTTTTAAATTCTCCCTTCCTGGCCTCTTTCACCTTCATCTCTAGTGCTCCTGACTTTTCGAAGTAAGAAAACATGGGTAAGGGGTGTTTGATGTCAGAACAGGTACAGGGATAGAAGAGGGTAAGTAGTGCTGTAGATGGGATACCTGGAACAGCATGAGTCAGTCTTTTATGCCTAAAGCTTAAAAAGGTAAATTCAAGCACCATGGATAAAATTGCACCATGGTATCTGAAGCTAGGCCCTTTACAGCACTTAAAACTGTGCATGGACAGGTCACAAAGTAATGGAAATGACTCAGCCATGCAGGAGAGTTTGTTTATTTTTACATGCTAGAGAGATCTTGCAGCAATCCGCTTTAAACTGGGAGAGTGCTGTGATGATGACAGGTTGGGGATGCAGATTAAAGTAGGATTTCACATTGATCAGCAGAGCTGCCCAGCTTCTATTTCTGGTTGCGCACAGACTCTTCCTCTGCACAGGCACAACTTTGTATAATTTGATGGCAAACCAATTTGAGGAACTGAGTGGACTAAATAAGAACACATTTGGGTGGGAAGGAGGCATTTTTTAGACAAACTAATTGCTCTAGGATGGTTCACTGGGGAGCTGCTGGTGGCCAGGGATAGGGACTGACTATGTCAGCACTGCAGCAGAGAAAATGGATGGAAAGCTGCAGCGTGAGCACTCTCAGCACCCTGCCTGGCTGGTGTATAGAGGTTTCAAGCTGTTCTCATTTCATTTGCTTAATGCTTGATGCTCCTTTGAATTTGATGTACAGATGAAATGTGTTTCACCAGTAGAGAATTACTTACAGTTGTTTTAGGGCTATTTAAATTTTAAAAAAGCTATTTAGCAGATTTGCTGCAGTAAAATACTGCTGGGAGAGCACAAAGAGGTAATACAGATACTTGCTGAAATGTATTTGCAAAACTTTTCAACACATTTAAAGTAGTCATTTAAGTGAAATATCACCAGGATTATTTGTAGCCTTTGAGTACTTAATATACAATATGTTAAAATACATGATGGAGAGGCGATGAAGAAGAGGGAGCCGGACTCTTCTCAGTGGTACCCACGGACAGGACAAGAGGCAGTGGGCACAAATTGAAACACATCAAATTCCATCTGAAGACAACCAACCAGTTTTTTCTTGTGAGGGTGATCAGACAGGTTTCCCAGAGAGGCTGTGGAGTCTCTGTCTGTGGAGACACTTGAAACCCAACCATGCATGCTCCTGGGCAACCTGCTGAAGCTGACCCTGCTTGAGCAGGGTGGGTTAGACAGTTGATCTCAAGACTTCCAACCTAACCCATTCTGTGAAAATATTAAAAAGGGTTTGTGTTTTTTTCAGGAAAAGGATTTGTGTGGCTAAAGAGTAAATACAGTGTCATAAATATGTAAATAGAGAGCCATAACAGTTTATGAGATGTGTTTAGTATTAACGACTTCAGATAAGAGAAATCCATATGGCCTTACAGCAGCTATTTTTATATTGCTATTCATTATATAGCAATACATGCTTGGCTTAGCAATATATTTGAAAATAGACACACTAAATTTACTTTGTTTTATTATACGTATATTAAGAAAAATATTTTGTAATTTCCCAGTGCATGACACGTTAAGCAGCTTTTAAATCAACCAAGAAATACAAAAGATGATAATATATCATCAGAGAAATTAGTCAAATGAACACATTAAGGAAGATGGATGGTGCCAGACCAATGTAAAGGGTAGTAAACACTTTTTTTACTCAGGTGATTTATTAAGCCTTTTAAAGGTTGTGCTAAAGTCACTGCTGCTATAGGTTTGTGCAGCTAGCAAAGCAAAGTAGCTAGCATTCTTTACGTATTTCTCTAGTCCTACAGCGGGGATGTCTTGCTTCCCTCACTAATTTATTCTGGATACTTTCTGCAGCTTTCCTTTTGTATAACTGCATTTTATTTTACAAGGATATCTCAAAAAGAAAACATTTAAGGATATATTCAGAAGTTCACTTTTTAGCTTGTACAGTTTGCAAACTGAACATAACTGCAACAGAAGGATGCATGTGATGTCAAAAAAAGATGAAGGCTGACAGGTCAATTATCCACCAATTATGGAGAAAAAGAGTGCTTAACCCAGAGCTACAAAGCAGGATGTGACCCGTGAGGATGCTTTCTCTGGCCTGTTGCCTTGATCAAGTGAGCCTTTTCTATTGGTTTCCTTGAGAGTGAGTTCTAGTACAGATAGGTTGCTCTGATGGTGTCCACCGTGTGTTCCCGTCTTTCTTAAAGGCTTTCTTAAAAGGTGTTCTCTCATCTGGATAAACTCACATCTAGTCAGCTGGTAAGGTGCCCAGCATACACCTAAGGCAACAGCTTTTGATCCGATTGCAGCAACCCATTTCTAG